ACTTTGTTACAGATTGGGTAAACAAAACAGTGACCAGTCACCTCACACACGATTTGTGCATGAGTTGTGGGCGGGGCTTATAGGTTATGACGGATCACACGCTTTCCTCACCAGCAGTTGAAAATTAATTGTTAGGCCTACCCATTGGTCAACTTGGGTAAACATTCATTGGAGGGACTAACAATAACGACAGGGAATGAATTATGACGGCCCGTCCACAGTGTCAGGGGCCGATTCAAAATTTTTGACAAAGCGTCGGGCAATGAGTGACCACGCCTGGCCGTCTGAGGCAGGTACATTTGATAGAAGGATGATAGACTAAGGTGGCTGCGGCTGCGAAGGACAGGTGACCGTTTTACACATATAAGTTATCTAGAAAAAAACGCAAGGGGGTAAATGGAAAGGGGCCGTTAGTACAGGTGGCCGTATTATACAGGTGGTCGTATTATACAGGTGGTCGTATTATACAGGTGGCTGTATTATACAGGTGGTAGTATTATACAGGTGGTCGTATTATACAGGTGGTAGTATTATACAGGTGGTAGTATTATACAGGTGGCCTTTATAGCAATTTCGACAGTAATGGTAGGCCTATGGTTTTAACGCCCTTACCAACACTATTTGATTATTAAAGAGGCGAGACCTCCGAGTTTGACGTTCGTCTCCGAAAGGACGGAGCCAAGTGGAAAATTTGTGTAAAGTTCCTTTCTCAAGGACACAACGTCGGACCGAGCTGAGGCTAAAAACCCCCGAACCTGCAACCTCACGATCACGAGTCCGGTGACCTAACCACTCGGCCACCGACGCCTCTCCTTATTCAATAGACTATACAATGTATTTTCTTCTATGGGTTTTTACACCCCCATCAATACAATTCAGGTCATTTAGGAAACCAGTTTCCCAGTCAGGGTCAAATTGAGCTGAGATGGAAACAACATCCCAGCAGACAGACCTGAGATATTCAAGTAAAAGTATTTTCTCCCCACTTCAGAATCGAACTCGGGTTTTCTGCATCCGGCAGAGAAGTGCTTAACCGCAGAGGCCGACTCACTCACTGTGTATTTACTTTACTCACTGAAATGGGTCAGAGAGCTTTTTTCACTGTGTATCAGTTCCATTACTCACTGTGTATCAGAGAGCTTCCCTCTAGATGTACTCACTGCGTGTCGGAGAGTTTGAGAGCTGCCAGGCGCGTGGTGAGATGTGCCATGTCGTCCTCTGTGACGTCTCTGGCCTCACACGTCATCTCGCTCCGGGAGGGTAGGGCTGTCTCTAATCTAGGACAAAAACAGTTGTACGACTTTTTTTTAGTTGTAAGTAAGAATTTTAGATTTTAGGGCACTTGCAACACAGACAGACAGACAGACAGACAGACAGACAGACAGACAGACAGACAGACAGACACACACACACACAGACACACACACACACAGACAGACAGACAGACAGACACACACACACACACAGAATAAGCTCGCAGCGGTGTGCGGTATTCACCTACTCTGCCTTAGACAACGACTGGGTTCTAGCCCTTTGGCCTATATGAGAGAGACAGACAGACACGCAGACAGACAGACAGGCAGACACAAACACACACACACACACACACACACACACACACACACATACACACACACACACACAGTGCGGTGTGCAGTATTCCCCTACTCTGCCTTAGACAACGACTGGGTTCTAGCCCTTTGGCCTATATGAGAGAGACAGACAGACACGCAGACAGACACGCAGACAGACAGACAGACAGACACACACACACACACACACACACACACACACACACACACACACACACACACACACACACAGTGCGGTGTGCAGTATTCACCTACTCTGCCTTAGACGACTGGCCTCCAGGGAACCTCTCCAGGCTGTGAGGTCTGTGTGGAGAGGGGGGCGTGTGGCGGGAACTCTTCCACGTCTGCTGACCGTCGTCTGGGGGCGTCAGGACGTCGGGGTTCTGGGCGGGGAGGGGGGGGGAGGGGGTGGGGGGGAGGGGTGGGTAAGGGTAAGATGGACAAACATAAGCCAGGGACCACCAGTAACACAGACTGGTTGTGTGGTGGGTGGGAAGTATGGAAGTATACGTGGCGATCAACTCAGTCAACTTTGGCTTGGATGCGTTTAGGATGGTATTTTTTTGTTTGGTAAGTGTTTTACGGCGCTCGCAACTGCATAAGGTCATAATATTAGCGCGTGAGACACACTAAACATTTTCAATTGGTAGGAAATTTTGAATTTTTGCCCGGGTGGCGGCCGAAGCCTACTCATCGATTTTGAAACACCAAGGAATCTATAACTAGCGCAACTTGCACACGGAAGGTCCAAAAATTTTTCGCCCTTGTCCGAGAGGGCTAGGTGTAGATCTTTCCTACCAGAAGAGCAGGGGTGTGGCTGAAAGACAGCAGTAAGAAGGATAGGGTGGTATGGTTTTATCCCCCTCAAGAGCCTACAACACCAAGCACTCAGGCTATAAAGATAGAGGAAGGACACGCTAAAGGTGGATCGAGGGTGTCAAGGACACTCTGAGAAAACAATATCACAACTGAAAGCTGCGGAGCTGGCCTACCGTAGAAAACTGCATCTCCTCTCGACGATTAAAGGCAACAGAGTATGAAAAAGTTAATTTAGTAGATGTATTAGAATATCCATCTTGAGTATGTCCAGAGACAGAGTAGGGATCTGATTGAGAATGGGACAGGAACAAAGAGAGAAAGGGGGAAAAGGAGAGAGATAGAGAGACAGAGAGAGATAGATAGATAAATAGAGAGAGAGAGAGGGGGGGAGATGGAGAGAGACAGAGAGAGATAGATAGATAGATAGAGAGAGAGAGAGTAAGAATTTTAGATTTTAGGGCACTTGCAACACAGACAGACAGACAGACAAATAGACAGACAGACAGACAGACAGACAGACAGACAGACAGACAGACAGACAGACAGACACACACACACACACACAAACACACACACACACAGACAGACAGACAGACAGACAGACACACACACACACACAGAATAAGCTCGCAGATGGAGAGAGACAGAGACACAGATAGAAGGAGATAAGTAAAGAGATAGAGAGAGACAGACAGACTGAGACAGAGACGCAGATAGAGATATATATATATATAAAGAGAGAGATAGATATA